AAAGGGCCGCAGGTGGCCCTGCTTGCTGCGAGGCGGCCAGGGCGAGGGCTTCGCCTGCCCGTCGTCTGGGGCTGAGGCAGAGGCGTGGATCCTCCAGGGGGGTTTTCGCTCTGTGACGGGGAGTTTCTCCTCCTCCACGTTGGCCTTAGAGTTCGCTGGGGAGGGGTGGGGGTGGTGATGTCCTGGAGCCGGGTTTTGGGTCCTTGCACTGGACAATTGGCAGAGGAGGAACAGGGGGAGAGAGACGGGTTTTGTGCCGATGGGGCAAGACGTGGGTATTGCTTAGCTGTCTGCGGTGGGGCTCGCTGTCACAGAGTTTCTGACTTCCTCTCTTTGTTTCTCCTGTTTCCCACCAGGGAAGGGAAACTACTGGACCTTAGACCCCAACTGCGAGAAGATGTTTGACAATGGGAACTTCCGTCGCAAACGCAAGCGGCGCTCCGAGCCCAACGCCCCCACGACCGCGTCTGCGGCCTCCTCTCTGGGGGGCCTGAAGGCCGAGGAAGAGCGACCCATCCCAGCCGCAGGCAAACCGGGTGGAAACAGCCCACCCCCGGAGCCGGACGGCCGGCTGACAGGGGGTCTCGGCGGTGACCTGCATCACAGGAACTTCTCCGCTGGGCAGCTGAGCAGCGGCACTTTCACCCCTTCCAGCAGCTCTTCTCAGGAGGTGCCTTCGCCAGACCAGCTGCAGCGGGTTGCGGGACCTTCCCCTGCCTACTACAGCTCCTTCCATCCCAGCAGCGGCAGCCAGGGAGCCCAGTACAACCACTACTACAACTTCACGGTGAACAGCCTCATCTACACCCGGGACGGAACGGAGGTGTAGGGTGCTGGGGCAGTCAGCCGCCGGGTGCTGCAAAGGGAGCGGGGGGGGCTGCAGCTGCGTTTGGCAGCACGGAGGGACCATATGCTTTCGCAAACAGCATTTCAACGCAGAAGCTTCCCTGGAGTTCTTCCAGGAAGACAGTTCTTCTCACCTTTCAAAATGAGAACACCCACTGAACACCAGCAGAAGGCAGATGCAAAGTCTTTTCCCCATCCTGGAAAATGTTAGGTGGCTTAGATGGCTTGCCGTCTAAATTCTGCAGGCAAAAGCGAACTGAGTTGATGTTCTCAGAGGTTTCTAATCCTGAATGTAGAATAAGAAGTTTAAAAACTATATCCGTAAAGCGGTATCAGCGAGAGCCAAGCGTAGACATCCAGTGAGTCTTAGAAGAGAACAGGAAAGAAAAACATGAAGAGATTTCTTATGAAGTGCCTTGTACAATGTATTAAAAAAACTCTTCCGCCAGCAGTTGCCTCTGTAAGCCCTTGCTTTCCGCCCTGATCCTGCGATATGCAATGCACGGGGGGACGCTCCGGGTCAACGCCCGCCCAAAACCTCCTCCAAACCCACGGAGGTTCGCTCTGGTCTTCCTGTGCCTGGCGTGTTGTACAGCCAGGGCCGTGTCTTGTAAAACAGTCTTTTTCCCTGAGCTTAGTACCAAAGATAACTCTAGCCATGCAGCTTTAGCACGAGAATAAACACTGGGGTATTTTTATACATATTTGTACGTAATGTAACTCTTCTGTACATATGTTTCTATGTGGTTTTATATTTGTAAATTATGCTCTGGAGCTGTACTTATTTATAATGTGTTTTAAACTTTGTTAAAGTTTATTTTACTTCATTTCCCCTTCTTTTTTGTTGTTTTATTTGTTTTGAATTTTTGGTTGGTTTCATTTTTGTTTGTTAGTGTATTAATTAAACTTTTCAGGCTGAACAGCCGTTGGGAATAAAATGTTAACAGTTGTTAGATTTTTGCCTGGTTGTTCCTCAGTATGTTTGAGGTATTTTAAAACCCTGTGGGAGACAGGTTTTGCTTTCACGTGGTTTGGGATAAAAGATGCAAAGGTTTGTGAACAATTTCGTCTGCACAGTAAGACAGAAAAAGACTGCTCTGGGCCCAGAGGAGACGCGTCTGAGCTGATTTGCAGCCTCTCGTAGCCTCGCTGTGCAGAGTGGGCACTCTGGGCTTGTTTGTTTGTTTGTTTTTGTCAGCGCTCTGAATTACAACTGTCCTTTTTCAGCCTGGTTTAGTAAAAAAAAAAATAAAAGCTTGCAAAAGTAAAAGAAGCAGGGCTGGTTCCAGCGTGGTGCTAGCTAGCAGGAGTCTGAGCTCGACTGTTGGCTCGATCCATTTTGCAAATCATTTTTTCGGGTAGGGTTGCACCTGCTTGAAATGGCAGGACCCGTCTGAGAACCCTTCCCGATTCGGGGCTATCAGTGGCTGCTGGGAAAGGAGGCTCCATCCTAGAGCAGCCGTTGTGCGAAACCACCGACTCCCAGTGCACGGGTAGAGCATAAGAGTAAATGCTTTCATGAGGAACGCAGCATCGGTAATGAATTTCGGCATGAAATTGCAGCTATTAAACATAAATGCATCTGCCGCGGTGTAAGGCCCTCCCCACAGGCTATTCAGAAAACAAAATGGCTGGCAGCGCGACGCAGCGCCTCTTCGCTGGCTCCCTGCGTCGCATACGGGGTAGTGATGCAAGGCTGGCCTGATCCGAAATCTGACGAAGCCGTGGCGAAACGTCAGATGACTTCCACGTGCTTGGGAGTGGGACCAAGTCCTTGCCAGCACGGGCCAGCCGCCGTTTGTGCAACAGCTGAGACCGGTGGGCGGGTGGCAACTCCTGCCTCATCCCCCTCTCACTCACCCCTTCCCAGCGCAGATACCATCTTCCTGGCTTTAGGGATAATTCCTCCATGTCTTGATTTTTAATTGAGTCTCAGGTGATGCAGCAGTAGCAGTAATGTGAGGGAAAGGGCAGACGGCCATTAGCAAAAAGACAAGTTGGTCAGTCTCATCCTTCTCAAACTCAGTCACACCAGGTGTGGAATAGCTTTATCTGGATTCTGGGCTGCTAAGTTGGCTCTAAAAGCAGTGGAGGGATTCCCAACACCTTCAGAAGATCAAGAGCCAGTCCTTAAGTAAGCCAGGAACTGCTTACCGATGCATCTAAGTGACCGCTGCACCCCTTAGCAAGCAGTGGGCCAATGTGGGACACTTGCATGTGTCCAGCTCATGTTTTTCCATCCAGATTTGTCTCAGGATTTACCTTCTGCCACTTCCACCATCTTTACGTTTTGGTAGACACTATCCATAACTGTTTGCTCCAGAGGATCCCAAATCCGTGGCGAATTTGTGTTGCCCTGTGGTCTGCCTCTGGCAGCCTGTCCCCAGCAAACATCTGATGGCCCAGCAGACCTTCTCATGCCACATCGGTTGTGTGATGGCAGAGTCAGGGGAGGATTCAGTCCACCGCAGTGCTCCAGCCACCCTCATGAGGGGTGGTGGTGGGCTCTCGGGAGGTTTTGGCAGGGGGGGCTGTCCCCAGTGCACCTTTGCTGCCGTTAGCACCAAATCCCGCTCCCTCCAGGGAAAGTGAGCCCTTAGCTGGAACCAGGGGCTGTGGCCCCTCCTGTGGACAAGCCAGCCCAAAGGCTGCTGTGCTCATGATAAAGCAACCTGCCCAAGGAGCACTTGGGGGTAGATTTCAGCAAATAGACACCTAGTCTGCAGAGAGGAGCCAAGAGAATGAGCTACCGGCAGCCTTTTAGTTTTCCTTTTGTCATTAAACAGGACTTTTCTTTTGGCAGATCTTGGGAGAGGGAGGGTGAGAGGATTGAGTTTAATGAAAGGCACTCAAAAGCAGCAGGGCTATTGTCATGGGCTTTGGGGATTTACCGATTTCCCACTGAAGGAGGGGGAAGACAAAGGCAATTAGCCTGCTGGTCCCACCTTGAGTCCCCACTCTGCTCTAAATGCCAAGGCCGTGCCTGGGATGGGCAGTTCTCCATGACAATGAGCTCCTTCCCAGCCTGGGTCAGGTGATAGCCCAGCAGCCCCGGACATAGCTTGCTGCTGGGGAACTCAGCAGAGAAATGTCCTTCCCTTGAAGAAAGGCTCAAACTTCAGGCCTCCGTCCTCTCTGCTCTGGCAGCCATAGGAATCGCCCTGTGGAATGACTTCTTCTGTCTCTGAGGGAGCAGTTCTCATGGAGGTAGTTGGGAGCCCACAGATCCTTCCTGCTGGATGCTAAAACTAAGTGTCGCAGGAAGTCTCATCTTTGCTTAGTTTCTTCAGTCTTTCTAGGCATCTGGCTGTAAGGAAGATACTTTTTACAGTCAGGGTGGTGAAGCATTGGGACGGTTTGCGCAGAGAGGTAGTTGATGTCCCATCCCTGGAAACATTCAAGGCCAGGTTGGACGGGGCTCTGAGCAATCTGATCCGGTTGAAGATGTCCCTACTCACTGCAGGGAGGTTGGGCTAGATGACCTCTAAAGGTCCCTTCAATCCCAAACCATTCTATGAATCTATGATTCTAAGATCTAGAAAGATGCCACCTCAACTGAGCAAATGCAGCCATGATCAACGTGAAACCACGGCCATGCTGATGATTGCAAGCACAACCGCCTGGCACCTCTGACCTGCTCTGCCTGCACCCTCCGATACTCCCAGCTGGGGCCTGTGGCTCTTCCAGCTGAGGTTTGCACACACAGCTGCTGAAAAAGGCAATCCTTGCTTGAGACGAAGTGCACTCCAAAGGTATTTTGAGAGACGCGTTGGATCAGTAGAGCAGATGCTTGCTGGCTCCTACGTGTGGCACTTCTCCAGCACGGGGTCGTTTAACTTTGCTCAGCGCTGGCCTTATCGACATGCCAGCAAAGGTTCAGGCAGGCACCCGCTGCAGGTCTGCACTTGAGCGGCTCCACGGTACAAAGGCTTTGCCGGTACAGCTGGATCAGCCCAGTCCCCTAAAGGAGACCCAGCTCCCATCAACAAAGGAAACTCTTGTGCCAGTAAAGTTAAACCCCCCACCCCCAGCCACACCGAGTATATTGCGGGGCGGTGGGAGGGGATTCAAGAGGCAGAACACAGCCATCCGCGCCGGGTTTCATCGCCCGCCAACTCTTTTGGAAACAGGGCTTCAGTTACTGCCACTGGCCATGGACTGTGGTTTGCATCTTCTCTGAAGGAGGAGACTTTTGATTTGCCCTGTCCATGAAAGCTGGCCGCAGTATATTGTGCCTATACAGAAGGTTTTATTGCTTTTATTTTAGGAATACTTCAAAAGATATAGTGGTGTTCAAGCAAGCTACTCTACAGCTATCCTGCCCTTGCCTTCGCTGTATTTCTAGCAATGGAAAATCTTCATCAGACTTCTTGAGACAAGGCCCCACCAGGCCTACAGATCTCACCTGACTTTGGGTGCGACGTACCTGAATCCTGCCCTGCTCGCTCGTGGGAGGAGATCCTGTCGGTCTCATTCTCATAAGAGGGACAAAACCTCATTTTGTAGCTTGACCCAAGAGAGGCAGGTGGGAATCAGACCTGGCTGATGGTACACGGATGGCTGATGCCTCAGTTAGGAATAGCTGTGCCAGATGGAGACTGCAGATGTTGGGAAATTGTAGTTTCTGCTTTAGCTTTGGGAAAAAAAAAAAAAGACTAGTTTTATTGTCCTGTTATGAAATACCCCCAAAACAGATTTTTGTTCCCAATTACTTTTTGTTCTCTGGTTGTTAAAAGAAGAAAACCATGGATTTACCTTTTCTTTTTCCTTCTTTTTGGCAGAAATCTCTATCAAGCTGAAATCCCCCCCCAACTTTTTTTGTTAAAACAAATGTTGATGGAATGTTTTTGACCAAATTACTGCGCGCAATATTCACCTGGGTAAGGTGACGAGAATTCGCCCCTCAAGGAATAACTGAAGTGTAATGTAAAACATCAAAGGTGTTAGGTTTTTTTTGCCTTATACCTGAGCTATCTCTGAATC